TGAGGAGATGTCATTTAAAGCAAAAGTTTACGGACGGACGCCGGAGGAAAAGCGATCACAAAAGCTCACCCTGTCACTTTGTGACAGGTGAGCTAAAAATAATATGGAATACATACAAGTTTATTGGTCACATATATAAGTTAATTGGTCCACTTCAGTATAATGTATTCACTCAACAAGGCCCTTATAAAAAGCACCAGTGATGAGTATAGTAGTTACATGTTGGCGACAGAAATGATGATGAGCATTTTATACAGAAGAAAAAGTTTCAAGCTTTTAAAGAAAATGATACTTCAAAATGTCCTATGCCCTCTAAAACTGACTAAAACAGTAGCTAGGCAAATATAGATACGAGTTACAATGAAAAATGAAAACTTTACTCTCTTGGAGAGCAATTGCATGAAAATGAATGATTTATACAAATATCCATTGATACTTTACCCCATTATATCTAAATAAGTACATTAGTTGTTTCAAAATTCTTTCAACAATCATGAAAAACTTTCTATTTCAAGTGTTATTGCTGTCAAAACGGAAGGCACTGATTGGGTGAAAAAAATAAAAATAATATTCAAACCACAATTCGTACTTTTAACTAATAATTATTTTTTCCTTATCAACACTGTCATTAACTTTTTACCCAAGCTGTCTCGGACATTTAAGCCTTACTTCTTTTTCCCCTAAAGAATTTTATTTCAGAATTGTGAAAAAAAGATATTATTTCAGAATTGGGGAAAATAATTATTATTTCTGATAAGGAAAGATTCTGTTAATAAATGACCGCTATAGTATCACATAATCAATCTCTTTATATATATGATAAATATGAGTTATGACATATGATGGACTCTTTTAGAGTGATGATAAAGTGAAGTGACTGATAATTGATAAAAGCATGCTATAGAACTATTTGTGACATTATATTATTATATTTATATATCATACAGATAAAAAATACATGACCATTTCAATATAAATTTGTTTCAATTGTTATTTATAACAATTCTAAATAACTTTTCATTCTTTTATCCTTGGGATTTAAGTTTTTTTAGACAGTTTTGACAATATTAAATTTGCAGCTTTTTAAAATGGAATTTTTTCTTTTAGCATAAAATCAATGATATTTTCAGATTTTAAAGCATCATTTTGTTTTAATTAACTATCATAATTATGAACACACTTTAGATGATAGATATAAAATTTCAACACATTCTGTATATAAAAAATAAAATATATATAGTCTATTATATATATAGCTATTTATATACTGTTTATAAACATACATATTATGTTTAATGAACACATTATGGTGGAACACCAAGTTCAAAACACTACATATATGAACACATTCCCGTATATATCTAACCTGAACACACTAGGTCCTAAAACCTGAACACACTAGGTCTTTATCTTTGAGCATCAACATTTACTTTGAGGCAATTGGAACACACTTGACAATATATAATACAGAATAAATTCTGAACACAAGTTAGAATCAATGTCTGAACACATTACGGTATGAATATTTTTGTTCTGCATATAAAAACATAATGAACACATCTGTGGTATTTTGACTGAACACATGCAATAAGATTCTTTCATCATAAAAAACTGCATGACTATAATTTGAACACAATTGGTGCAATCTATAATTAATACAGATTTGAACACATTAGAAAAATAGGCTCAAATATAAATACATTTAATGTTAAGAACTATTTATAAATATAGATTATACCCAAGCATGTACGCATATTTAATCACATTTTCTCAAATTATAAGCAAATGTTTATATGAAACACATTTTCTCCATTTAATTAACAGGTATACACTATTTGAACACATTCCCAATTCATTACTAGGAAACTTGTTTTTACTGTTCACAAGTACAGGGTCTTATAACCATTGGAATAATAACATATGAGAATAGTACAAAGAAAGTAAAATCTGAGCAGTCTATTATTTAACCTTCATACTACTAGCTTGATGTCAAAAGTCCCTAATATTTTTTACTTTAGAGTTCTATATTCAAACAATTTTACAAATTAAGTATCATGCATGTCAAATGAAAAATGTGTCTCTGTGAAATATATTTATCCAATCTATCTAATAACTGCAACTTTTCTGCTCTAGTTTCCTCATTTCTTCCATTTGAAACAATCAATTTTTATATCTTTTTATTGTCTTTTTTCACATTTTTTTTTTCACTAAAGCAAGAAAATCAACTAACATTTGTGAAAATAAATATATCTGTTGACTACTCTACTGCTCTATAAAAATAAAAAATAAAGAAATGAAAAAGTAACACACGCCAAAAAAACAAACTAAAAACAGCAAACAAAAGGTAGGGGTCAAAATATCTGAACAATATAAACAACAGCTATGTATTGGAATAAAAAAAAAAACAGAGGCAAGTTATTTTCAACCATTTTCATTCTTTCAGTACACTTGGATCACCAAATTGGAAAAAATCCACCCTTGCCCTAGATTTGCTTTCTGAAATAACCAATTCTGATGTGATATGTGAAATAAAAATAAAGGCATGAATCAATAATTTTGCTTGTTCAAATGTTTCCTAACTGGACATTGTTGGAAAAATCAACTACAAGTTCATCATTCCTCTACTTAAACAGAGCCCGACATTTTTGAGACATTCTTAACAATTTCTTTATAATCAGATCTTAAAGACAATAACAAACCACCATTTTTACTTATCTTACAATCTGAAGTACGGTAGGTAAAATATTCAGGTTTTTGTTTTAAACAGTGTCGAAGAAATTTATTTTACTTGAAATTTAGACCATTGTCACTTGCCAACAAGTTTTCATATTTGAGATGGAAAACTAAATTACGCATACCATCATTGTAAATATAAAGCACCATCAACAAAAAATTATACATATATATTAATTTCACTCCAAATCAAACACGGCACAACAATCTATGCAAGTCAATTAAAAAAAATATCTCCATATATTCGTAAAAAAATAATCATTCCAAATTTTAACCATCTCCTTCCGCTAAATCCATGAATGTTATGTTATCTTAAATTGAAATATCAATTTACGAGATTCCATCCCCTCAGCCAGGTATAACAATTCAACAATGCCAACTTTCAGTTTTCTTTTAACATTACAGTAAAAGACCTTGCAAAACAACTAATTTTATCAACTGTCCTCCAGTTATAATAGTAAATCACTCAAAGTAAGTTAATGCAAGTATTTAACAGATAACATGAGAATAAAATACAACATATAACAACATCCATTTGCCTTGACAACACAATAACGTATAGAAGCATCTTTGATTTAATTTCAAGCATCGTTGTATTTGAAAGCCATAACAATGCATGTTTCCTTCTTAGTCAATATTTTTCAGTTCTCTTTCAGGACATTATTAAGAGGGTCAGCAAAATCTTTTCAAGACTCCCTTGTCAGTTTTTTACCAATGCACTTCTATGTCCATATATTATTTATATAGCAAATTCTGGTAAAATTTTACTCGTCATGGGACAACCTGATTTTGCCGCCCAATAAACCGGATGATACTGGTTCTTTTTATGAACAAATGGGAATTTAGATGTCTTGTGCTCCCCTTTTTCCCTCTTATTTAGCCAAGACCAAGTTTGGTAACCCATACACAGCTAGATTTCACAATTTTTTTAATACAGCCCTTTTTCAGTTTTCATACAATAATGATTATAAAATTTGCATTAAAAAATCTTAAAATTTCATAAAGTAAACTGTTCTTTCTCGTCTGACAAATCAAATCCATTACTCGTTACATGCATTATTTCAGTCAATTTAGGCAATTTCAGAAAAGCGGAGAAAAAAAAATCACAAATAAATACATACAATTAATTTAAGCATTTACTATGATTATTTTAAAAAGGCACCTCAACTGCGCCAATTATCTTAACAAAATATACAAACATCTTCCATAATCTTACTACTTAAAATTAGTAATTCAACAACAATTTATTTCAAAGCAAACAAAACTATTTTAACAGTAGCTGCCCATAACAAGTTAATAACCTGGTAAAAAACTATTTTTTCCATTACTGGTCCTTTACCGTTTTAGCTTCACAGTGTATTACCATTCACAATAGATTTGTCAACCTGTTTCACTTCTTTTTCTCAGTTCTAACAGTAAAAGATTGATTGTCAGCTCGGAAAAACAAACACGTTCTTAAATTCTAAGTCTATTCTAAAATTTTGTGAAAAATTCAGTTTTTCTTAAAAAAAAAAATACAAAAATATCCTCATTTAACAATTTTGAAATAATTCTACAAGACTAAAACATCCCAACTTGCCAAAGGTATAGACATTAGTTCATTTCACTGATTTACTTACTAAGAGCTGAAACTGTTAATATTGTTTTGTTTGACAATGAAACAAAGATAATATAAGTGTCAACAAGATACATATAAATAAACTAAGCTACTAAATTTTACTAGTGCCATGTACGTCAATAAGTGTTAATGATCTATATACCCGGTTATACTTATAATAATTATAATAAAACGCCCTGTTAAGTTTATCATTTTTCCTCTACATTTCATTGTAATTGACTAGTTAATTATTATTACATAAAGAGAAATTAAATTACAAAACAAATTTCTGTCCATCTTGATCAAATAGAATGTAACAAAAAATACAAAACAGTATTAAAGCTGAATGCCTCCAGATGTGCCAAATATTTCAAGAAAATCAAACTTGAGAAAACTGTTGAAAGATTTGAAGTATAAAGATTCCAGTAATTAACATAATGACTGATTTTGCACTGTTTTTACCATATTTCTACTGTGATCAGGCTCCGAATGGAAGCTGGGAGATTACTCTTGATTGCTTGTGACTTCCAATATTTAATGCTTCTTTACCTATATAATGTGATTCAATATCAAGATTTGCATCTCGACTTCATTGAACTAATGAAGCCTGAGACTGATCAGAGGCTATTTTTGCATATTTTGAACTTTCTAATCTGTGATGTATTGCCATTTGCAGCAAGTTAATTACTTTCCTTGTTCTTTTCACAATATTTTAATATTAAAAACATTTTCAGAATGTTCATGAAAATTAGCATGAATCTGGAGGCATGCTGCTTTAAGCCATTCCAATACAAAAACCACAAACACACCAAAACAGTATTTTCAGCAAGATGGCATTTTATTGTCACAATTCTTCATGAAAAGTGACAAATGTAATCTTTAAGACATTTGTAATGAAAAGTTTGAAATAATTTATTCATAAAACTGTATAGTTCAGTGATTTATTTGAAAATGGTTTAAAGTTTCAATGCAATATAACCATAATGCCAAAACAATGTAGAACATGTTGGGACTAGTTTTCTGTTACCATTATGAAGTTCAAAAACACTTGACCATTACTCTCGTCTTAACAGTTCATGTCAGGAAAAAGCAAAAACAGAATTCAATCTACTTCGATACCAAAAATAAATAGTCATCATACTTTTAAATAAAGTATTAACATCATTTTAAATCAACAGATAAAGAGCGGCATCACCCAGGCCGTTCAAACAATGTAATTCTTAAATAAATAATAACATATATATTTTCTATCTCCAATAAAAAAAGTCAGTTCAGCAAGTATGTATATGTATCACTCCCATTTTTCTTCTTTTAAGAAATGTAGTACAGCTCTGCCTTCATCCTGGTGCTATTAATTTTTTTCAAAGTAACAGGTAACAAGCTTTTGAGTTTAAGCCTAGTGAGACTCGGTCCCCTTCATGTGCAATGGAATAGTCTATTATCTTGAATAATCCTATGTTCCGTGAATTTCTGTGAAGTGCGAGCAAAGCATCAACCCTTTCCCGTGAAATGGAATATTCTATAAATCATCAGTGCAGTGGGGTCTTCACAGCAGTGTGGTGAATTGCTGTAGTTTTTATTTATGATTCAGGAAAAGGTAACTCTAGCTATAAATCAAATGGGTAAGCATCAAACAAATCACTGATTCCCTCCCCTTCCTCCAGACTGAACATGTAGTCTTCAAGTGGGCCGAGTATTGGCTCAATCTGTACAAAGTTCTCATCAATATTCTGATCTTCTGTTTGTAAAAGCAAACTATGACCAAGATCAGGCGAGATATCCTGGTCTTCTAATAAAGCATTCTTCAAAGCTGGATTGGCTGAAAAACAACAACAACTTATATTTATTTAAATAATGTACAAAGGAAGTTCAGCAACAGCAGGAAACAAATTTCCCTCACAAGTTTTTTTTTTAAAGAACACATGAAATCAGAAAGATGATTTTTACAAATTTAGCAAAACCAATCACTTTTTAACTGTTGCAGCTAGACTAAAATTCTCAAGAAATAATCAAAGCAGATTTCAATTCTTGGACAAACAAGAATCTTTGTTGTAAAAATTCCAAACTTCTGAAAATACATGTTTACACAATGAAAAGCGAGTGGATACATTCTTTTAAGTGGTTGACTCTTACAACCTAGCCACAGTGAAGTCTATGACCTTTACCACTTTGCCTTAACGTTCAGCAGGGTCTGAGGTGATAAAGAAATTCCCTAAGCTAAAACTCACTTTCAGGTATTTGATTGGTCAGAAACTATCATAGAATGTTCACTGACCAATGAAAATCCTGAGACTTGAGACAGAACTCGGAAAACAAGTTTATAACCTCAAGGCCAGGTTATAAACTGTTGGCAGTCATCAAATTTAGCACTAGCACCGTGGCCTATGGCCAGTGAAAATTAGTTCGGGCCAGTGAAAATTTTAAGAAAATTTAGTTAAATATATAGTAGAATAAATTCAAAAATGGAATTCGAACTAGTAAATTCAAAAACTTAAATTCATTGACTGTGTTGCATCTCAATATTTTTGGTGTACTGAAAATGATATCCCTTAAAACTCAACGGACATCCTGTTCCAAATTATCCACTACACAAAGACAGAAGTATACACCAAGAAGAGAAGCCTCTAAACTGTTAACTCTGAACATGTAGAATAGATCATACCTCTAAAACTATCACAGGAGGTTGAATCTTCGGAGAAAAACGAGTCTTCCCCACTACTACTGGTATTACTAGTACTACACGCACTGTCTGCATTAGATGACGTGGTCGTGTTTGGATCTGTATGGTTGTTTACTTCTTCCGGACATAAATACACCTCTATTGCCCCTTTTGAACTCTGTAATCAATAATGTATTAGTCACCGTTAACATCTCTCCAAATCTATTTGAAAGAAGTGTGTTTCCCTTCTTAAGCTCAACTATTTAACTAGATACAGAATTTTTTTTAGGTTCGTGCGAGAAGCTATAAGCTGAGACATACACTGAATCCATTCCTTGAACCAACCAGTAAGGTGCAATGAGTGTTAAGTTTTTGCTTATAGAAACAGTGGCTTGCCCCTGACAGGGTTCAAACCCACTAGACTGAAATGTTAATGACTCACCCATGGCACCACTATAGTTACTTTATTTACAAAGCAATAACTTGATTTAAATAACCTTTCAGACCATAAATGGAAAGGATGTACTTAATGTTTACAGATGAAGGCAAGACTGCCCAGGCAATATTAAATACATTGAGCATTAACAGTACATACACATTCTAGCAGAGAAATGTTCATCTGAAGTTTATCTTAAAAGAAAAACAACTAAAATCATTATCATGTTTACCTTTAACCATATTTGTATATTTTCACCAGGGTCGGGCACTTCTAATCTGGTCTCAGGGGGAGCTTTTATTGCTATCACTGTTTGTTCGTCCAGGGACCGTATGCTCCGAATATCTTGATAAGTTACATATGCTAATGTACGCAAGTTAAGGAATACAAACAAAACAGTATATGAAGCTTACGTGTATTTTAACTAAAGTGGTAAGTACATTGAAAGACTGACATGTTTGAAATATGGTGGGATATTGGAGGTTTCTTTTCCTGTATTCCACTTCAATTCCCTACTGGAATGCTTGATAAAAAGCAATTTAAAGTGGCCTTAAGCTTTTCTCAAGATTAAATATGTTATTATTAGGTATGTTGTTTCATATAATTGTCACATAAAATACATAACAATAAGGAAACCCCTCTAATCTACCCAGCAGACACAATCTTCTATTTTTAGAAACTAATGCCACCATAGTGTTATGAATAGCTCTCAAGTTGTTGTTTTGAAGAAAGCTCAAAAGCCAGAAAACTTTCACATTATCATATGATCCTTCATCTGACAAGATCACAATCATATCATCAATTATTAATTTATGTAGCTTCTTGAACATTTTAACAATGTAACTTTTTTTAACCCTTATCCCACTTAATACCTTAAAATGACAGACTTCTCCATTGTTTCTTTACGTGTGTGAAAATTTCAAAATAATAACTAACTGAACAGCAAACAGCCCAGACCATGACCAGAAGGTACATTATCAGTTTCAGCTGATCTTTTGTCTGCACTGGTCTACTGTCTGGGTATTTTCAGTCAACACTAGGAGGCTGGTAAGTTATCGTCCATTAATGTGTTCATAAAAACTTACAACACTATTTAAATATGAAAGGATATCTCGAATTATCTTGATTTTCTGTAAGTTCTTTCAACGATTTTGTACAACTGTTTATCATGTGATCTAAGTTATTCTCTTTCGCCTCTAAATCGGCTAAATCTAAAAATAGAAACAAAAGCAAGTGCACATATAACAAAAGAATCAGAAAAAATCTTCAACATAAGTGTTGAATTAAAACTAATTTAGGTAACCATTTTACTTCTAGAATAAGATCTGTTCAGATTGAATCTGATACATAGTGACAATCTATTCTAAATCTTTATTTTTACACTAAAACCAGATATAATTTCCAAAAGTTCAGGAAAATAATCACATAAAAACATTCTTAACATTTGCTGCATTTGTGTGTGTGTGTGTGTTTCTGGGCATTTTCTTCTTATTACTAGGGGCCAATATAAACCAGATTTCAGATGACACAAATACCATTTTTCCGAATTAAAATCTGCCCTGCATCTTTTTCCAAAATATATTAAAACCTTTATATCCAAGAAATCTGTTTGTTTCTGATGTAATGTATTTTTTTATCAATAAAACCACTACAGTTAAGTAAACAATCTTCATTGCGTTCCCCCATCTATTTCTTTAAAAATCACAAAAGATTTTCTGTTGCTTTCAATTAACTGGAGTCCATTAAAGCTGGATTGTGTTATAAATTCTTGCAACGTATGTAAATCACTTTCAAGTCTGCTGCCGGCACCTTACCAGTACTGTTGTCATCTGAGGAAACATGGATGAGGCTTGAACCCACTTACCCCTAGGTCGAGTGGCTGACACCCTTACCTCTTGGTCGCTTTTATGATATAATACCCAAGGATGCAAACTTTTTTTTATTTATCATAAATGTTTAACCTCCAATCAAATAAGTCATTCTCTACCAATCAGGGGCGGCAAAATCAATTTTCTGTTTTGGCCACGATGTCGACAAGTGGAAATTTCCAAGAATTTTCTATATAAATATCATACAGACAAGTAAAGAAATGCTTCAGATAAAAGCAGACAAACAAGTCAAAATCATTCAACAACTCTCTTTTTCTATAAAAATCAAGCAAAACACAAACCTGAATGTAAATCTACAGTAGCTGAACTTAATCTATCATTGGCATCTGGATTCGCTGCTATTGAATTTGTACAGCCCCTATAAAACATTACATCACAAAAATATACAATATGCAATCATGATGGTGATTCTGTTTCTGTACAAAGAGCCTCATCAGTCCTAATTCATAAAACTGTTGAAAATTCTCAATGTTGTTATAAAATTGCCTCCCAATCTGCTCAACCATTCATGTATAAATTCAAAATTCTAATAAAAAGCACCATGAAGTTATTTTTTATCATCTAAAAATAACAAGTTGAATGAATAAAATATCACTTACTTCCATTGAATATTGTTCTTGGATTTCTTCTGTATTAAATTAATTCCTTCCAGCACATTAGTTATATCATAGATCCGTCTTTTCTGTACCTCCAGATACTCGGATGCTCTATTTAAATCTAAAACCTGAAACAATAATGCATCGCTTTAAACAGAATGATTATCTTTTACATTATAGGATAGATGAGAACTCAATTTTAAAAAAAACTAGAAATGTGTCCATAGGACACGGATGCCCCCACACACTACTGTTCTGTCAATCTTATGACTATAGGTCAAATATTTTTTGGACTACATGTGCAACAAGTTGAAAACTAAAAATCAACAAAGGGCCATAATTCTCTTAAATTTGGTCGCAGCAAAAATTCTTTCCTTTACTACCATCTACACATTAAGGTTGTTAATCCCTTGAAGTTTAAGCAAAATCTGCCATCCGGTTAAAGAGGAGTTGCGTTCACAAAATTTCTACATAGTATATAGTGAAAAAATCAACAAAGGGCCATAATTCTGTTAAATTTGGTCGCAGCAAAAATTCCTTCCTTTACTACCATCTACACATTAAGGTTTGTTAATCCCTTGAAGTTTTAAGCAAAATCTTGGCCATCCGGTTAAAGAGGAGTTGCGTTCACAAAATTTCTACATAGTATATAGTGAAAAAACATCAACAAAGGGCCATAATTCTGTTAATTTGGTCGCAGCAAAAATTCCTTCCTTTACTACCATCTACACATTAAGGTTGTTCATCCCTGTAAGTTTAAGCAAAATCTGCCATCCGGTTTAAGAGGAGTTGCGTTCACAAGATTTGGGACGGACGGACAGACAGACGTACGGACTGACCATGATATTATACCCAAAACAAACCAAATGCTACTCAAACAAAATTTAACAATCAGTCCTATGGATAAGACTAAGGTCTATGTGATGCCAATTTACAATTAACACGGAACCAGTCATTTTAGTGGAATAGTGATTCTTTGTTAATTTGAAATGAGGTTATTTTTGTCACTTGCATGTTTTTGGGGGGCACACTCAAACTGGTCTTTGGTGCAGACTATCTATAAATGTTTAATCACGTGCAAATGATTATATTTCATAAAGGTGAACTTACCCCATCAGGTGCGTTCTTGATGAGACCTACAAATTTTTTCGTCAACAAACCCAGTGAAGTATCATACCTTGTCTTTTCTAGAGGTGACCTCACTGGAAAAAAAAACAACAACAGTTGTTGCTACAATTTCTATAAATAATCATTTCAACAACACACAGCTGGAAATTGTTACTTAGTTTTTCAATAATATGATATACTGTGTAAAGAAACAAGAAAATACGAAGGACCAAAATTTATCAAATCATAACATTCCTGAAATATGCATAAGGAGCCATTCCTTCTGTGAAAGTTTTGCTGGTATCAGTGGAGAATGTGCATCAAAGATGTTGGCTATGCCCAAATGCCTGCTAATTAACATTTACCAATCTAATAACCTCTGTTACTAATATAAGTAAAATACCAAAAAAAAAACAATTCAGTGGAAAAATACCTTTTGGACTCTGCTCAGACCTTGTCCTCTGTCGTTTGTACTTGGCAGGTGTTTTAAATCCCTCATTCTGGTTTTGTACATCTAACTCAAGTTTTCGCTTAGCCTGAAAATAACGAATTAGTAACGATTCGCCACACTAACGATTCGCCACATAACGATTCGCCACAGTTAAATAACGATTCGCCACAGTATGATTATAGATCTAACAATGATTTTTTTAGTTATCAACAAACTTTTTCCATTCGTTTTAATAATTTGACAATGACAATAATTTAATAATGTTTCTTAATACAAGTAACATGAACTTAAAGCCCCCATCGCGGATTTTCAATTTATCAAAGTAACATTATTACAGGAGTACATTTACAAGAAAGTAATTATATATGTTGATTAATCATAAACATAAATGTCAATTAATATAAGAAGAAGAGAAGAAATAGTTGATTTCGGTAACTCATACATTTACAGTATATCTCGTTACATACAATAATTACAAATATAATAATTCTGTGGTCACATGACCAAAGCAAAGAAAAAAATAATAAGAAGAACATAAAAAGTTTTAACTGATGACATTCTTACGGAGAACAGACAGCTGCAAATAAAGGAACAAAGAACATCACAATATCATTATCATTCATAGAAATAAATATATATTTCATATATTATATATATGTCAAATAATAAAAAAAAATATTGCAAAAACATGTGATCATTACGAAAATTGATTTACGATAATTGATGATAGAACGCATATCTAAAACATTTGTCACACCTTTTATTTTAACAAGCCAATCACCTTAAATTGTATAAATATTTAATTGACGCCGAAATAATCCTTTAATTATCTGACAATGTGAGCAGATTTCAAAACAATGCGGCAATTAAGCTTATGTATGTAAATTTTGTAATAAAATATGTTAGTTATATAAATAACTTATCTAAAATGTGTACAGTAATGTAATTTTGGTAATAAAATATATTTATTTTCATTTATTCAATTAAAGCTGTTTTCTTTTAATTTTACAGTTTATATAAATAACGAAGTTTAACTTATAGATCTACAATGTGTAATGTAATTTTGGTAATAAAATATTCATGTGTCTTATAATTATTCAATAAAAGCTGATTTCGTATAATTTTCCAGTTTATATAAATAACGAAGTTTTTCTCATCTACAATGTGTGATGTAATTTTGGTAATAAAATATTTATTTTCATGTGTTTTTATTCTATAAATGTTTGTTATTATATTTTTCCAGTTTATATAAATAACGAAGTTATAAAATGTGTTATGTAATTTTGTTAATAAAATATTTATTTCATGTGTTTTTATTCTATAAAAGTTGTTAGTATATTTTTCAAGTTCATATCAATAACGAAGTTATAAAATGTGTTATGTAATTTTGTTAATAAAATATTTGGTTTTCGTGTGTTTTTTTATTCAATATAAGCTTTATTCGGTGTTATTAATTTATGTAATTAACAAATGAAATATAAAATGGAAAAAAGTTTTCCATCAACAATTTGAAAACAGGTGTGAAAAAGTTTGTATTTGAACACGTGGCGAATCGTTATTTAACTGTGGCGAATCGTTATTACTCTGTGTCGAATCGTTATGTGGCGAATCGTTAGTGTGGCGAATCGTTACATTACCAAAATAACATAATATAAGGTTAAGTACTTAAGGTTAATAAGATCTCTGATTAACAAAAAATTTTTTTTTTTTTCCTCCTAATTTCTGCCACAATATTTCATTACAAGTCATAAAAACACGTTTTTTCATGACAATGCATTCTTGACGTGAATTAAATTTAAAAAATAATAATTTAAATTGTTCAAACTTACATATTTCTGCCTACACATTTCTGAGAAAAGAGTAGGCTCCCTTGATCCTTTATTCCAACATGCCACTACATACATATTTTGGTCAATATAATAAAATTCCCAGAAAACTTAACTGTTAACAATATTTAATATCTTAAAACACACATAACTAATAGCACTTTGAGATCTGGTAAACACTTCATTAAAGTAATGTTCCAAAACACATATATCACAAGTATACATCAAATAAATTTTTTTTTGGTTTACAAATTGCCAAATCCTGTGTCCTTGTTATATTGTGAGAATTTTTACAAGTAATTCCAGACCCTCTGAACTCTGGGGTGTTAATTCTATAATTGACACATAGGGTGACATTTACATTGGCTAACTGTTGATCCAAGAAAAAACACATGTAAACAAACTATTACTTTTTATCAAAGGGTTGGCCATCAATTCAATTAGGGCACTTGCCACTATTAGCACCTAATTATGGGGTCTACACATCAAAGGACCAAACTGTTGATTGCATGAAAGGTAATAAGTGCACTTAATTGCCATATCCCTAGGGGGGCCACAAAAAAACCAGTCCTGATTTGATAAGGAAAGTTGTAATCATCACCACCCTTTGATTTCTTTAGAAAGGATTACATAATAATTACAGTAGCCTTTAAGGAAATAGAATTTCCTTACATGGACAGGAAATGTTAACAAGCATTTCTTATCAGCATTTTCGTTGATAATAATCTACATTGTTAAAGGGGGAAAAAGAAAAATTTTTATTGCAAAAAAAATTTATTATTTTTTTCCCTTTAAAATTTACTTCCCCAATTTCCCAGTAACCTTTCCCGGGTTTTGAATAATTTTTTTTTCATATAAAATACACTGTAAAAAAATGTCGAACATTTGTTGGGGCTTTAAAACCCTTACCCAAAGTTTTGGGGGTTTTTGTTTCCCCCTCAGGAGACGGGCAAGTTTTGGCTCCCCCTCAATCCAACGGGTTTGAAATTTATATGGTAAGGCAAGCAAGGAAAAAGTCAAGACTGTAACTGTGTAAAATAGAGGTTTGACCACAATTATGTAAATTTTAGAAAGGCTTGGAAATATTGGTTGTAATCTCACCATAATTTCAGTTTTGTAACATACTTCTATGATGCATTCTGAATTTCAATTTACTATTCACAAACACATGTCCAGCCACTAGTGGGAAAGTATCAACTTTCACTTCCCACCAATACACAAAACTTTACTACTACATGACCCCTTGAAACCCCATTTAACGGTCAAGACTGACTGCACATCTAGTATTTGCAAATTCAAAACAAGTCATTACTGGGGTCAGTGTCCAGAGAAGACCCAAGTAGCCTACTGTAAATTCATTGAAAAATTAACAATGGGGGTCCTAGAGCAATTTCGGCTATTCAGTAAATGACCTCTTGTGTCTAATTCTTCGATAGTTGACTTTTATTTTATTTTGTGAGAACTTGTCACTTTATTGAATTATCATGGCAGAACTAAATAGCTAAAATAGCTGAACCATTCTCAAAATTAAGTAACAAATAACACTTAATGTACAACTGTAACAGTTTTACATTTTTTGCATGCAAGACAAAGAAAAAGTCAGTGACTGCAGTGGTGGCAAAGTCATTTTCAAGACTAAAATGCCAAGTCTGCCCCACAGCCTGTATGGACAAGTAAATTTTTTCCAGAATTCCCTTAAATATCATAACTATGGGCAAGTAAGCAAATTCTTTACATAGAATTATGCCAATTTTTTCGTCTTTTTGAAGCATCATGCCATTTACACTAGGATCCTAAAGCTCAGTCCTCAAACAAATTTTCCCAGGCTTGTTCCCACCACTCAATGCTGTAACCTGATGTAACAGTGGGTGAGGGCTTAGGGTGATTGTGTAATAAAGGGATTAAGTGGACTCCAGATAGGGGTGTATTGTATGAAGTGTATAGGGGACAAACAACAACTATTGACCCTTGGATTGTTCAATATTTACAGGTAGACAGGAAAGCTGCAACTTTTTAAACCTTTTAAGGCTTTGATTTTGTTCAATTAAAGTATACAGAAAACCAATCTAGCCATTCAAGGCTGTCTAAGAATCACATTTTAGACTTTTGCAAGATTTCAGTGTTAAAGCCTTATTTCCCCAAATGATGCTACTTTTGGGAATTATTAACAATCCAAAAGTCAATTACCTAACTTCTAATTTCAAACTTGAGAGGAAAAACAATCAAAACAGTTTTGTTTGTTTTTTCTAGGATGTCTCCTTTCTTTTACATTTTTGAACAAACACCACAATTTTAGCACATAGAATCATGACTGAACATTGCAAATTATGCATGCTACTTTTTTACAACCATAATGTTAAATTGTCTCCATTTTGCTTTCTATGGTCAGATACATTGAAAATCACTAAGCCATGCAAGATCAACACCTAATACTGACAAAACCAGCTGGTAGATAAGGATACTTCCATGCAATAAATCAACTATTTAGTGTCAGCTCCTTTTCAAATCCCAAATTCCCTCAACAGTCAACATGCAATAAATTTATTGTTACACATCACTATTTATGACAGGGTTACAAGGGCCGACCATGTCCTAATTTAACATGTTGACCCCAAATAGCCCCTCATTTCCTGGCCAGAGTGACCCTTAACTGACCACCTAACCGGTCATAACTGATAACATAGTACACCCTCAATTGAATAAAATAGCCATGCATCCATTACAAAATGGAATTATTGTTAATCAAACAAACATGTTAAACTTGAAACCTCTAAGCTTTAATATGTTGCCTTGACTTAGGAAACAAAATTCTTCACTGAACTAGAAATGTGTCATCATGCCACGGATGCCCCCGCATGCAGCCAAAATTTCAGATGGTGCATTAATTTTTTTTTTCATTTTAAGTTCAAAGCCCTTAAAACTTTTCAATGTTAACACAAACCATTTCCATACAACGTTCAAGGCACTGAAATTATTCAGTCTTAACCTTTAGAAAAAGCATATTGCATATTTGTAGCCAAAATAATGGCTAAAAGAATGAGTGCTGAAACTGAAAGTTCAAAATTTTTCCAACATTCAGGAAAGATAAGTTTGTCTAAAATCATTGAACCATGACCAAATTCAAACTTAAACTGCTTATTCCTAAGATATATCTATATTAATCTCAAAGTGAAAGGGACATAACTCTGCCAAAAAATCATCAAACCATGACCAAATTCAAACTTGACCTGCCCATTCCTTTGACATATCCATATGTCAAATCAAAATTGAATATGTAACACTGTTAGGTAGATAATGAACAGAAACTGTAAATTTCATATTATTTTCAAAGTGAAAGGGGCATTACTCTGCCAAAAATCATTGAACCATGACCAAATTTGAACTTGGCCTGGGCATTCCAAAAACATATCCATATGTCAAATTTGAGTTGAATGTGTTGTACCATTGGGGAGATAATAAACGGAAACTGAAAATTTCATATTACTTTCAAAGTGAAAGGGGCATAACTCTGCCAAAAATCGTTGAACCATGACCAAATTTGAACTTGACCTGCGCATTCCATTGACGCATCCATATGTCACGTTTGAGTTGAATGTGTTGTACCTTGAGGGAGATAATGAACGGAAACTGAAAATTTCATATTATTTTCAAAGTAAAAGGGGCATAACTCTGCCAAAAATCATCGAACCACGACCAAATTTGAACTTGACCTGCTCATTCCTTTGACGCATCAATATGTCACGCTTGAGTTGAATGTGTTGTACCTTGAGGGAGATAATGAACGGAAACTGAAAATTTAATATTATTTTCAAAGTGAAAGGGGCATAACTCTGCCAAAAATCATCGAACCATGACCAAATTCGAACTTGACCTGTATTTTCTCATGACATATCCATATGTCAAGTTTGAGTTGATTGTGTTGTACCGTTGGGGAGATAATGAACGGAAACTGAAAATTTCAAATTATTTTCAAAGTAAAAGGGGCATTACTCTGCCAAAAATCATCGAACCATAACCAAATTCGAACTTGACCTGTATCTTCTCATAACATATCCATATGTAAAGTTTGAGTTGAATGTGTCCAACCGTTCTTGAGATAATGAACGGAAACTGAAATTTCATATTATTTTCAAAGTAAAAGGGGCATAACTCTGCCAAAAATCATCGAACCATGACCAAATTCGAACTTGACCTGTATTTTCTCATGACATATCCATATGTCAAATTTGAGTTGAATGTGCCCAACCGTTCTTAAGATAATGAACGGAAACTGATGATGACGGAATGACAGAATGACGGAAGGACGGAAGGACGGAAGGACGGAATGACGGAACAGGGTAACACTATATGCCCCGGCCATTACATGGCGGGGGCATAAAAATAGACGTTTTACTGGTTCACCTTTAAAACTCCAATGTATTTTTTGTACCTTCACTGACAAAGAGTTTTTGAAAAAGGGGGCGATGTAAAAATATGATTACAAGAACACTTTCAGCCAATCCAGTTGTACCTTCACTGGCTTTCTAATGAGGTCAGGGAAAAAGGGGATAAAATTAAAATATGTTTACAAGATCATTTTTAGCCAATCTAAACTCCCTAGTCTTAATAAATACTCTGCACACCTGTTTTGATCATGGATAAAAATAGATATACTGCTACAAACACTAAATTAGCCAGTCAAAGAATCAGGGCTTCCATAAACAGGTGCAAGACCTTAAAGATTTGTATCTGTAAGCTAAAAATTAAGACCATTCAATTTCATTGGGTCTCTGGAATCCTAAGTCAAAGATACCAGTAATGTGATTATTTATCTTTTAACATTTTTAATGTGTATTAAAACCACTGCTTATAGGTCAGGGAATGCTAAATTAAACTTTATCCATAGATCTTTGGTAAAAAATATTAAGGCTTAATTTTATGGGAAATTATTTTTAGTAAATAATTTAAAAGAACAATCTGAAACTGGAATATTTGCAATTAGTGTTACCACTGACATTTTGTAGGAAGACATTGAATAACAAAGAATGTTGAACTTTTAAATTTTTTGATACAGTCTAGAGTTCTGTCTTCACATATTATGAAAGAACACTTATGACAATGCTATTCAACAAATTAATGTTTATTGAAAAATGTCTCAATGACTAATTCTACACTGTCAGTCACAGCTGATCTATGTAACAATAGATGCTGACTTTGTGTTTCACTTCCTTGTAGCACTACATATATATTCTGTAGTGACTGTCTTGTGACATTTTTACAGCATGCATTTAGCATGCCCCTCTAAATAACTATCATGATTATTATCACATTAGTGGTATTGTCAAACATTGCTTGCCTAGAGCAACATGATGTATTTAACTAGGAATTAGCTATTGTAAATAAACGCTGTAGATAAATGGGCTATTCCAGAAATTATCCGCACCCCCCCTATGGAAGAGGTATTTTTTTGTCCAAGGGGGGGTATTTAAAAAATAGGTCCAAGGGGGTCATATTTCAGATAACACTGTCCAAGGGGGTATTGTTTTGAAAAAGACAGGTTGTATGGAAAATATTATTTGTCCAAGGGGTATGGAAGACATGTCCAAGGGGGGTATTAAATTAGACAATTTGTCCAAGGGGGTCATTTTTTACTGATAAGTTGTCGAAGGCGCATGTATAAATGCTTGTCCAAGGGTTATGGGAAATA